TAATTAGGTTCTAGATTGTGGACATAAAAGTAAATAACATATATCTTGGCCTATTTAATTTAAAAAATATATGTACTATAAGCAAAATAAATAATGTAGAATATAACTTACTTATTCCCTGTTTTCATTAAAATTTAATTTATATTCTTTCACTTGTTGACCAAAAATGTACACTACGTATAGTATAAATCAAAGTAATATTTTGTTATATATGACAATATTTACTGCATTAAATGATATATACTGTAAATGAAGTAAAACCTTATAAACCTTTTCTATCTTCTCAACAACAAAATCGTATAATTTTGTGTGTGTTGATATATTTAATTAAATGCTAATAAAGAATCACTACTATAAAATCAAAAGATTTATTTTAACTCATAACATTCCTTATCGAGCAGATATTACTCTAACGTTTAAAATATCTGAAATTACTCGGAAAAATCATACTATACGACAAGATACTTGATACAATTTAATAATCATAAATTTTATCCACAAATACGGTACTTACATTGTGTTCGAGCATCGATGCGTTAACTCGTATACCTTAGTTCAGCACGATTGCTGAACTTCAATTAATTTCTACGGTAATTACTTAGATTTCTTTTTATATAAGACCAATTTTATCGTTTTATCAACGATGTCGTATAGGTCGTATCTTTTTAATTCAAACCAATTAAGAAATTAATCAAAAATATATCACAATTGTCTCTTAATTCAAATCTAAAAGGGAAAAAAAAGAAAGAAATATTATTGATCCTTAGAATAACAATGTCTATAAAGGAAACAAAAAATCCTTATGAAATCAACAACCGGATATGACTTTAAGGGTTACGAATGTAACTACTAATTATCAACGACGTGAACTGTCGATAAACATTTACACTCGTTACGGTGTATCCTTTTTTAAATACCATTATTTACATTTACATATACACTCACATACACATATCGATATAATCATAGAAGCTCATGACTCGACAAACAGCATTGGTCAGTTTAGTCGATTTCGAAGTCGGTCAACTTATATTGTTACGAAACCGAGCTCGTACACTCTTTATAAGAAGTAACTGTGAATTCTTGACAAATTTATTAATTAATTGCCAGATAAATTAAATTTATTTATATAGTATTCTAAGGTATAAACAAAAATGTATATATAAGGGATGTATCAGCTAACTTTCTTATGTCTAACGATAAGATATTTTCATTATTTTTAAGTTTATGAAAAAAATGCTAGTAAAATTACACTATTTTAAAGGACATATCTGACATTGGAAAGCATTTCTTCTCAAAGTCATTTTTTATTAAATTAGAAAGTCTCGTAGATATCACTAAACACAAACAGTATCTAGTGATATATAAAAGAAAGGGTGTGGTACTAATAGTGCAGCGGAACTTTCGATTACAGTTTTTTTTTACTCAAGGACAGTCTGTTACCATGATATTGCGACCATATAGATATATCAAGCGTGGTACAAGAAAAATGATATGTTATGGAATCGTTACAAGTTTTTTCATGTACTAAGAAACGTTAAAAATAGGTGGACGTTCTTTACAACCTCAATTTTTTATACTCGAAGTATTATTATCTTTTTTTATTAGGATTATTCTTAAAATTCTACTGATCGGAATCAATTTTTTTAAAATAATAAAATAAAATCATTCGAAAATTTATAATATAAAATTACATAAAAATATCTGAAAAAAATTATATGACAAATAATATAGTCACAAATTTAAAAAATATTATAAAAATATACTCATAATTTCAACCAATTCCTTTCCCATTAGTGAAGAATAATAGTTAACGTGTGAACGAACGTAAAAAAGAAAAAGCAGAAAGCCTAGTTGTATTCGTCCGTATAATAGATTAATGAACAAATCACAAAGAATAATGAATAAAAATGAATAGATGTTGTAATAAGCAAGGGTGAAAGTTTCACTGGGATTTAACATACATGATAATGATCAATAAAATATGGCATAATAATTCAATCATCTGTCATATTAAATAATTATAGATATATTAATTAACAAAATGCATTTTAAACATCGAAATTTTACACATAATTTTCTCGTAAAGAACATTCTCTAGACGTTTAGTGTTTTTTTTATTTATCAGATTTTTCATTTTTGTTTGCATTTCATTCTGTAGGACAATCTAAGTAAATTGTGTGCGTATCAATCAATGCGATGGAAAGTTCGAACGAGCTCCGTGAAACGTACTATAAAAATACTGTCTAGAGTAATATGAATTCCAAAGAGACTAACTATTTTAAATACTCTTCCCTATCGGATAATTCATATCGAATCTACTTCCACAGGAGCATTGATTTTCATAAAGGAAATAAGATCATTTCGATATTAGTCGTTTAACAGAATGTTTAATTCGATCAGATAATAAGTTATTACCAACCTGTTTATGTATTTACATATATATGCATTAATAATATATATACATATTTCCACATGTGTTCCGCAAATATAATTACTATTTTAATTATAAAACGAAGTTTTATAACCCATACTTATATCATTTTAATTCAATAAAACGATCTACTAATATAATTATAATTTGTTAAACACATAAAAATGATCATATATACATACATACACATTTATTTCAAAAATGTTACCTACTCAGAAATGAGAACTATACCAATTCACAATATACCTTATGTTGATTTTGGTAAATATAAGTTTTATTCCTTTTTGTTCTATTCTACTTTCTCTCTTTACTCAATAAAATATCGAGTACGATGTAAATGTGATCGCTATCGCGCATGGTCAGACAGTAAACAATTTATTGCTTCATTATAAATTCAGAAAAAAAAAAGAAGTCGACCAAAAAAGGCTTTGAACTTTTCCGTCTACATTACAATTGAAATTAAATGATTTTGCTCGCAAGTGCTTTTTATAAAAATTTTTCTTTGTATAACGATACATTTTTTTCTTACAAGGATAAAAAGCATGAATTAAGTTAGTATAAATTAAATGCAAAATAATTGAGTACAAATTATTCATTAAGTTTTTATATAAAACCAAATTAAAAATGAAAACTAAGACGAAAAAAGCAATTTCCTTAGAAATTTTTTTCTTTTTTTTTAATAAATGTTGTTTTTAATTCAAAAGTTTCTATCGTTATTTTGAACATTTGTTTATTTTAATTAAAATATATATAATTTTAAAAACATAATAATTTTTTTCTTTTTTTCATATATCTTTAATTTAAAAAAAATTAATATCAGCTTAGTATTTATAAACATTACAAAATACCATACTAGTGGACTAAATGAACTTGTTACATATGGCACTTACATATGGCACTAACATATGAAATATACATTTTTTAAATTAGTTAAGAAGTAAAAACTGGTGATCATGTTATTTCTTTTAATGAAATGCATTTGGATTGATGTTGAATGCTTACACAAATTATTGCACTATTACTGTTAGTAATCTTACTCTAACAACGAATAATGACAAAATAACAACAAATTTATAACTCGTAACAAGCTACTTTATAAAAATAAAAGCAAACAATTATTTTTAATTGATCGATTAAAATTTTAAATATTTCTAGAAGGAGTAATACACCACCTCTTTGATATTTTTTTTGAAATAATTGAGAAATGTATATCTCATGCAGTAAGTGCAACTGCTTAGAATTAGAAACCAAATACTCTACCGTCTACTTGCTTATGTTATATAGGATTATTTTCAAGAATTAAACACAATCGTAAGTATCAATTTTCCAGTGAAAGCCATTTGCTTGACTAAATATATTATTAATTTGACACTTCCTGTTTGAAACCTATTGAAAGTAAAACCGCATATTCATATTATATACTACGACATTATCGAAAATTCATTGTTATTTACTCTTGCAAAATTATTACACATATAGAATTTCTGAAATATTTTCAAATAAAATTTTAAATATCTAACAACAAAAATAATATTAGGATCAAAAGTTCATTATTGGTGTGAATGCACCTTTACTTTTTAGGAGTGGCTTTAACAGAGAAAGGTTCTTATGTTTTAAGTTATTTGACTAGCACTTTTCTATAGGTACAAGATCGTGAATAGTTTAAAATAAGTAAGTACGTATTACGTATTCGAACAAAGCCTTATCCGCACGATCAATATCTAGTCGTTAAGTGGATTTCTAGTGTTTTTGTATAAAATCACTACGAAACAATTTTTAATTTGCATTTTATTTTATTCTTGCTTTTTTTGTTTTTTGTTTTTTCTCTTTTTTTTTTTTTTTTTTAATAAAGTTTACATAATATTAAGAGCTTGATTGGCTCCACATCCAACGGTGCCTTCTATGTAATCCGGGAAATTAGATTCCAATACACGCATACCGTTTCTCTTATAATCAGGAATAACATGAGTTGCCAAAGAACAAGTAGCACTATTATAAACCTTTTGGAAATTTTCCGATTGGAAAGGAGTATTTGTATCCCATCTTTGAACGATACCTTCGCCTTCGTATCTAAAGAACAGAGCATTGCCGTTGTCCGTGCCTAGAATTACTAAACGTTTAGGCTTCATTCCAATATCTTGAATTTTTCCGTGCGTTAAACCGTTTCGAAGATATTCCGTTTTGATGGAGAACAGACGACTGCTTGATAAATAAGTGAACATAAGACAAGTACTACCATCGGCATGACGAATAAGAGCCAAATAGAGTACATCTCTTCGAGAAGAACTCATGGTTACAGTTTTGGGTAAAACGAATCTATAACCACGACCAGATGTAACATCGTAGACCAAAATTGCTCTTGTTGCAGCATCCGATACGTAAATGAAGACACGTCCATCCGGACTATAATCAGCAACAACGTATTGAAGTCTAGATGAAGGTATGGTTAAACCGTCAAGTTCAACCGTTTTCACGAGCTATAAAGGATAATAAAACAATTCAATTTCAATCTTTACAGATCTTAATCGAAAATGAAAATGAATACGAATCATGATTAAGTTGCCAAAATAAAGTAAACAGTTCGGAGATTAATCGTTTTAATAATTTCTGTTAAATTAGATTTAGAATCGAAAAATAACATTAATAGTCAACAATGTAAAATATCTCGTCTCGTGATTATATCGTATTTTTATGACACGTTTCGTTTTATAGTTAACACATGAAAAATGAGATTTGCCAATTCATTATGTACAATGAATAGTAAAAGCATTATTACTATAAAAAAATAAAATGTAAGAGCTTACCTTGCCTGTTTTCACGTTGAATGCGACAACTTTTGGTGGGGACATACGTACAGATTCCTCTAAAGTATGAATTACACCTGTATCCAAAACCCAAAGAATATCTTGAGGATCCAAGAAAAGATCCACAACATTTTGCAATGCTTTCAATGTACCTTCCTCTTGAACGGACCAGCATGGGAAAGCATAGAGATTAGCTTGACAGTTTCTGTCATTGAGAGAGACTCTAGCCAAAGTTGCTGGAATACCAGGCCTAAATCTTTAAAACAAAGATAAGTCAAATACTTCACATTAATACTTAGGAAATATTAAAATATACAATATAAAAGATATTCATATATCTCACCTTGGTAGAGCCAAAAAAGCATCGTCATTGAAAATTGCAGCTCTCGTTGCAATCACGTTTTTCGAAATGTAACGACCACTATTTTTAAACATACTTTTCGTAGTTGCACATGGCCATTCAAATGATCCACCAACCCACTGAACTTCATGATTATCATAGGGTTCTAATTGTTCTAGTTGTTCTACTTGTTCTAAATCGTTTGCAGTAACAAATACGATGATGATTGAAAGCGCCAACAAAAATTTGAATAACATTATTATTTAGGTTTATTACTAACTATTCAAGACTCTTTTATTATCTTCCTTTTCGATCGAATCGTAATGATGAACTGAAAGATATTTAGGATTACGCCATTTATATACTTTGTTGATTGACAACAATACTGGCATTGGGAAATCATTCGTTTTTAAAAGATGTCTGTTGTCCATTTGTTCTTGCATACCGGAATTAAACCAATTACGAATTGGATTAATTATAAAATTTACATTCTCTCTTTTAATCATCAATGATATTTTACATAATTAAAATTAATTAAAAAAATATAGACGAACAAGCAATATAAGTGAATAATGTATTAAACAGTTTTCCCTCTTTTTTACCTACAATACATTTATTATGACTTCCTAAAACTCCTTACTTCCGTATATATCAAAGAATCAACAATGTGTTTAAAATAATTGTAAGGAATTTAAACAAATGTGAAATATTTGATTATAAAATTGGAACTTCCTTCTCTTTGCTAATTTTCATAAACTTCCTGAATCCTTGAGATCTGCCATTTCTCGTTAAATATATTTCAAAAAAATCATTAACATTCTCATTTGTAAATATGAAATAATGCGAAAGCTGCAAGACTCTGTATGTTGAAATAATGAGAAAAGAAAAAAAAATACGATGTTTATATTACTACATGACGTATATATATCAACGATACGACGGATATTACATTCGCGTATTTGTAAGACATCGTGAATATTCGTAAAGAATCAAGTTCTCGTAAGTTCTCGTTTATTTTAAGTATTATTCATTTTTAGGAAATAAGAGAAAAATTTAGAAAGAGAAAGACAGTAAAAAAAGAAAGATAGATCAACGAAGTACTTCTCTTGGGTATTCATTACAAGAATTAGGATGAAGATGCTCCTAAGGAGCATTGTCTATCTGACAATTATAGTAATAAGTTTTTCGTCGGGAAATATCCAGAAACATTCCCTATCAGGATTATCATTCACTCTCAATGGACACAGCCTCGAATGGCCTTGCCAGAGCACAAAGAACATCTACGAGACAAGTGGCCGTTACACAGCTAGAAATGTAATAGCAACAAGGATGCAGATTTACAAGGACGAAGCGATTTTATCTCTACCACGTTACAAGCCTGGTGTACCATTTACTTTGGGTGTCGTATCCTTAAGAAGTAATACTTGTAAACCAATGATCCTGCCGTTCCCTTGCTGGGCAATACAAGAAGAAGGTAATTGTGAAGCCCTACAAAGTGCCATTGACATTGTACTCGATATTCAAGATATTCTTTGGGTCCTTGATACCGGTATCGTTAACACAATGACTCAACCAGTTAGAAGATGTCCTGCTAAAGTTGTTGGAATTAATATTAAAACTGGCAAGGTATGCACTTGACAAATTTGTAAACTTCATTACATAGATATTATCCTGATTGAATATATATAATATGTGTATGAAATAGTTGAATTTTAAATTGTTACTAAACGACCAAATTTCAAAATTTATTTTATAGATACTATTTAATTATATAGTTATTTATTTTTTCTTCTTCTTCTTAGGTAGTTAAAATCATCGACTTAAGCCAGCTTGTACTACCATCATCCCATCTTCAATACATGCTCGTTGACTATGCAGAAGATGGCCAAGTTTACATATATATTTCTGATGCAACAAACAGAGCTATCATTATTTACAATGTCACAGCAAATCATGGAAGTAGAGTAGTTTTACCAAATACTGTGTCTGCTAGTTTGGAAAAGCCTGATGTGTTGTATATGGTACTTGTCAGAAAATCTGACGGTACACCCGTTGTATACTTTACTTATTTAGGATCTAGCAGAATTTTCGGTATTAAAGCTGCTGATTTGAGAATTGGTGATATAAATGGAGGAATTGAGGAAGTTGGCTTAAAAAATCAGAAAATTGTTCTACTTGGTACCGACAATGGACCGGCCATATTCTTCCGGAACAAAGGTATAGATCAATATAATCAATTAAATATTATATATATATAGGAAAATAGTTTTATACAATTATAGCTTTACATATATATTAAATTAACATTTTTTAACTACATATATAAAATATTCTATTTATCATTTTTAGGTGAATCTGATATTTATATGTGGAATACGGAAACACCGTTCATACAAGAGAACTTCCTTTTAGTACAAAAAGACGGTGATTGTCGATTATCAACACAAGTTGTACCTGGCTACAAAAGACTCATGTGGACCATTGAAAGCAACTTCCACGATTACATATTAAACACAGTTAGTTGTGCAGGTGCTACAGTCTCTATTCATCCTCTAATGAACTCTTGCGAAGAATAAATACATACGTTGAAATTGAACAATATAATAAATTGCAACGAAATATACGATCGCCAATCAAACATATCGTAATTTCAAATATTACGGACATCGTTGGCTTTCATAAAAAAGCTGATTGCTACTTGTTTAAAAAAAAAACGATAATTTATGTACAAATAAAACTTATATACTATAGATTTTTGTCCGAATGTTTTGATTTTTATATCCTGAAAATGTAACTTAATTTATAATCTAGACATATGCAATTATATTTAATTAAAAGTAAAAAATTAAATTTATAGATAAGTAAAGGAACGTAACGAAAAAATTAACACTAATTGAATTATATATAATAAAGTTATAATTATGTTGTAATAAAATTATATATAAAATATATAGTAATAAAGTTATAATTATGTTGTAACAATTATTTTGTAATATTTCTTTTTTTTATTAATTTTCCTTTTTTTATTATATATATAATTTTCCTTTTTTTCTTTAAATATTTTACATTTCTATAATATATATTGTATATTATATCTCCCAAAAGATTTCATATCGATCGATATCGATATAAAATCGATATATATACACATATATAGTATGTGTACGTTTATATATCGAAAATTAAATTAAAATTCGATTATTTAGAATGCATTCGTCTAGACTTATTCATCGTTCAAGAATGATCACAAGTACAATGTACAGCCATAACGGTTTTAGCTGATAACCATAAAACAGAAGCAAAAGTGCAGTTGAAGTTGATCAAGGCATTCTAACCTTAATTAACGGCATTATTACAATGGCAAAACTTCCAGAGCTTGATTATTTTATAGAAAAAGAAGCTGCAAGGGCAGCTGTCAAAAATTTTAATGTTTATCTTCAAGGAGTATTCAAGGAGTATAAGAAAATATGGGGTATGTACTTAAATGTCGTGAACAAACATCAGAAGGTTAATTCTAAATCATTGCATGAAGAAAAGACTCGGATGATTAGTCAAGATGATAAAATTAATAGATCCTCAGATAGTTTATATTTTGAAGAACTGCATACAACAAATTCAGTCGATTTAATGGAAGATAGTCAGGAACAATGCACGTCAGATCTCATTTCTAACAATGAATCGTTGACAAATTTAAATGAAATGCTTAATAGTCCTATATTTTTAAGAAGTGATTCAAATTCTAAAAGTAACAGTTTTAATAAGAATGTTTCTTCTATGATCAGCACTAATGAAAGCACAAGTCCAGTAAATAATTTAAGTCTTGACAATGAACAAAAGATGTCAAATGAAACAAGTTATACATTTGCTAATAGTCCTACGACTAATGTTTCATCAGTACTATTATGTAGCACACCGATTAGAAATAAAAAGGTGACTATTAGAAAAAAGAAAAATGTTAAAAAAAATGGACAATCTAAAACGCCATTGAATAATTTGAGAAAAAGGAATAATTTATCTATTATAAGAAGAGAAAAAGCATTGAACAAAACACCTTTGAAAATTATAAATAATATGAACTTGATACCAAACAATAATTCTCAAATAAATCAAAATAATAATTTAAATACTATACAGTATAATATTGAGGTAACACAGACGCCACGTAGTAAAAAATTTAAGCAAACCAAATTAGTATTTCATAAGACAATGGAAACAATGGAATCATCGTACAATAGAAGATTAAATAATACTCCCGTATTGACAAAGTCCAATAAATCTCCACGTAATCAGGAAAAAGTTTTAAGACAAAGTACACTGACTGATATGATAGGCTCAAAAAGAAAGGAAAATAATTTACACTTCAATAATATTTATAGTCAAAGCGAAAGATGCAACGACACAGTAAAAAGTACAGAGATAAAGAATGAATTAATGTGTCATCAAGAATGTGAAACAAATGATCCGTTAAACATTAGCAATAAATCAGATTCAACTTTTCTTTCAGAATATGAAAACAATATAAGTCTTGATGAAAGTTTGGATACTAGTTTTAATTTTGAAAAAAGTTCTTCATCTTCAGAAAAATTAACAAATCAACCTGATGAATCTACGGATCAACTTACTAAAAAGGAGAAAATCAATCATTTATTAGGAGCAAAGGAAAATGTAATAAATATCATTGATTTAGATGAGTCAACAGAAACAAGTATTGAATCATCTACAGATGGAAGCTATAAAAAATGCAAAAGGCTCAGAGAAGAAGAATGCTGTCAATACGACAGTAATAATCCAATTAAGAAAGAAGCCACACCAATGGATTTTTGTACTGTTATGTTGCCTGATAATTATTCGAATACCACTTAGTATTTCCATTATTTATATCTATATATTTATCAAAAATATTATTACAAAAATTTGTTCCCGTTCGATCACTGAAGTTAAACAATGGACATGGTTAATACTTGGATGGATGGATGATCGCTTTGAAACACAGTGTGTTGTTGACTCCTTATAAAGGTGATAGAAGTATGAAAAGGTGTTGTTAAGTCTCCTCAGAAAGGAGATTAATAATGACAATGAACTCATAAATGATACGATAAACTTTTTATATATATTACTATAACATTAGAGAGAGAAAGAGAGAGGATTGAAATATTTTAGATAAGACCTTGATTTTATATATACTTTATAAGACTTTATGTTTGTATAGGAATGTATACAAAGTATTTATTCTTTCAAAAGAGAAATCTATAATAAAAAGTAATAGTGTTTTATGTAATTATTCATATGTTTACACAGCTAAAATTAAGCATAAACGTAAAGATTGTATACAAATTTGATTAAAATGTGATATATGACAAAATTTTAAACTAAAAAATCCATCCTTCTTTTACATTTTATTTCAATAATAATCTTTAAAATATTTTAACTGTTAAAACAAACATATTACCTTAATGCTGTCACTTTTGTACTTCGCCTTAGAAATCATACAAACGAATTTCAATGTTTTATGTGCTTAAATTAAACTATTGATTTTTGTATCGTATTAAGAAATATGAAAAAATAGTGCCACCATTGAATTAATAGATTAATGAAAAATGAACCGTGTACAAGATTTCAACAAAATACATGGATAGTAATGTAGTCTGCTGTACGATGATCTTTAAGATGGTTTTAAGAAGGATTGTTTTATTTTGTGAAGGTCATAGAAATTCATAAATTATATTTACAATAAACAAATAATTTGCTTTAAATTATCTTGTTTCATGTAAGTTCATATTTATAAACGCTATGATTAGGATTATATTTATTGGCGTTCGAAAAATTCTAGAATAATTTTGCCAAAAAAACAAAATTATACATTGTTATACGCATCTTTCGATTTACTTCCAATTAAAATATCAGAGAAATATATTAAATAACACATGGCATGGTTCAGTGCGGAATAGAGACCAACTAATATTAACTGAGTCAGACTTGATAAATTATATAATCGATTGATAATAAAACAAGAATTATACGTACTAGTTGATGGTAAATCTCATCGTTACTGCTTGGAAAATAGCACAAAAAAGTTAGCATAGAACCGCAACAGCAGAAAATAATGAATAAGTGCTTTTTATTACTCACTAATTGTTCAATCAAAATCCATAATTACTCATTTTATTAATTAATTCTTTAATTGGTTATTAATAATTGAAAAAACGAAAATATTTTTTCTCATTTCTAAGCAAAGCAATGAAGTTTTCTATTGTTTTTTGTTTTTAATCAATTGCTCACTTTTTGTTTGTCTGGCTCCTCTCAACTTTATTTTACTAAATATTTTTTATTTATCGTTAATTAGTTGAAAATAATTATTATACTTTGAATAATTATGAAATGGTGGCGTCATGAGTGGGAGATATGTTATACGCATGCGCAACCACAAATTCAAAGCGCAACTGCAATTTAAGCGGAAAAAAGTGCACTTTAAAAAAATGAAAATAAAGAAACATTGTTAAATTCTTTAAGTGTGTAAATTCCAATTTTAAAATTAAACTATTTCTAAGATTAATTTAAATACTAATTAGGCTAATTAAAAGCGAAAATGCCGAATAGCTTTATTAGAACAAAAAAGAAACAGATACTTTAAAAAGACAATCATATTTGTTCAAAACAAAGTTTTAATAGTACTATTAAGTTAAACGTGCAAAAGCGTAAAACAGTGGTTCTCACAATGTGCGTTGTAGCTCTCTGGAAATCTTTACAGGGTGACACGAAATAATATTATAAAATGTTAACAATTTTATTTCAACTTTCATTTCGATATGATAAAATGTTAAATCTAACATACGTAGTTAGTGCAAATCATTAACTTAATATTAATTGTTTGTAAAAGTTTATAAATAAAACGTGTTTTATTTCATTTTAGCCAATTCTTAAATAAGAAAATTTGTAACTTTTTTGTAAAATGAACTTGTTAGAATTTGACATAGGTTGCTTTGAGAAAATTTGGATTTAGCAAGGATGCCGAGAATAGAAAAAGTTAGAGAACCACTGCTGTAACCCAATTAACCTGATTGTGAGAGAGGTATCATACACAAACTTATCACTGATACGCTTATGGTAGGACATTGATACTCTGTTTTCCTTGTAGTTCATATTGCGTCCATATTTGTCGCTGAAGTCTCGCACGCTTCTAACGAAAAGGGATAGCAACCTTAAGGTGGTCTTCAAGACAAGATTCAATTGTTAATATGAATCTACGAGGATAAAATATTGTAATAAATAACGAATGTTCTTCTTTATCGACAATGTAATCTGAACGCTCTTGTATAGTTTTAATTTTCGCCATAGATAGCGCCATCATCGAGGAAGTAATTATTCTAAAGTGTCATGTCTATTTTGAACTGTTGACTTGGTTCGAGGGCGCTGTGAAATCGTGGAAGTTCGTGCGTTAAAAGGCAAATGGCCGGCGCAGCGCGTGCGAGCGGGATACGTGTACGACGACGAAGTACACATCGCGCTGTGTAGTTCGATGATGTGTAACGAGTAATGTTAAGTGTACGGGACGGTTAGTGAATACCGTGTAAATAAACGTGATGCGAGGGGCCTTACGTTCTAGGCCATGTAAGACCGGTCTGTTGGTAGGCCGGCGATGACCACTGAGAATCCCCCGAGCGCGGTGATGAAATCCGTGTCGGAGGGCGAGCTGGGCGTGGAAGAGGTTGTTAAATCATACGAAACCAAATCCCGAGACTCTAGCTCGAGGCTGAAGCGAACCTTCACGCTTCCGAGGAATTTATTTCTAAGTGCCACAAGAATGTCGAAGCGTCGAACGAATAAAAGTCGTGATTCTAAAGACGTTAGCGGCGCTGTCAGTGGAAAAGATAACTCTAAAAACAACGTGCAACAGCAACAACAGCAACAATATAATACGGTTGATAACAGCATGCAGCAGAACGTGGGAAGATTGCATTGTGGAAATAACCAGCAGGCATACCATCAAGAGAAATCTGCCAGCAAGAAAGTATTCGTAATGTCATCCTGGAGGAAGTTTATTAAGATTATGCAACAAATGTCGAACGTAGGTACGCAAAACAAAAGCTCTCACAGGGATGAGCTTGGCTCTAGTGCGACTGATATTCGAGTGCCACCACCGAGACCAGCACACATTCCAGCGGACAGAGTACCCGGCGTTATAGGTCTGCGCAATCACGGCAACACGTGCTTCATGAACGCTGTACTCCAGTGTCTATCACACACGGACATAATAGCCGAATATTTCGTTCTTGACCAATACAAAGTTGATCTATCGCGACGTAACAAACTTAATTCGAAGAAGTACGGCACCAAGGGTGAAATTACCGAACAGCTAGCTTTACTTCTAAAAGCAATCTGGAGTTGCCAATATGACCCAGAAATGAGTACTGCTTTTAAGAGTGTTGTTGATAAATACGGTAGTCAGTATCGTGGTAATCTTCAACACGATGCCCAAGAATTCCTTCTCTGGCTCCTTGACAAGGTTCATGAGGATCTCAATCAAGCTACCAAAAAGAAGTACAAGATCATAAAGGTAAGTGAAAAATGACCGTGACGATGACGATGCGTTCGTTTTGTACTTGTTTGTCCCTTACCCTTTCTCTTTTCCCCTAAGCCTACTCTCCTTTCCATAGGCTTGCAAGTTCCGTTCATTCGATATCTAATCATGCCACGTTTTCCTCTATCGTTGTACTTCATTTTTATTTGTCTCTTCTTATGTGTTTACATGTACTTATGTATCTTATGAGATAAAGCTTTTTTCTACTTTTAAATTTGTTACGGAAACGTTCGTCTTGATCGTTCGATCGATAAATCTGTTTCATTCGCCATCTTATTTTCTTTCTGTTTGTTAAGCAACTTATTCCTTTTGGTATCGGTCGATATATCTACTACTCTCGACTTATAACGTACGATCGCTTTCACGTGAAATTTTCGCATGGCGCGATGCAACGCCATTGGTCCGTTCGATGGTCGCGTGTCATTAAGACGTCACTGAAGCGGGAGTTTCGCGCCAAATATTTATTTCCGAAACAATTTATTTTATCACGATTTTAAGATCTAACTACTATTAATATATGTATATATATATATATATATATACATTATATTTGGTTTTTGTATTGTAAACATTTATAAAATTATAATATTATGATACTTCTATTGGCAATACAAGATTGATTAGATGAATTTGAAGAAACGAAGGTTTCATTTGCATTTAGGTTTTGGTGTCTCAAAGAGAATGCATAATGAATAATAATGCATTGAAAATGTGTTATCGAAAAGATACTTGTACGTAATCAAATGAAAGTATCGAAATTATATTAGGAGACAACTTGTTTTTTTGTTTCCTTTCGATAAGTTTGATTTTTTAAATATGCGAAGGTTGAATACGTGTTGGTAGGATATTTTTAAGTTATTTATGACATGGTTGCTTAAATCAACCATACTATATAACTTGGTGTAATGGTTGTAACCTTACGCATGATTTTATTTATTGCTTCGAGAAATGGGAGAAGCTGGTTGGTTAGTTGATCGTTCTTGTGATGTGTGTATGTCGTGTATGCATGCGTGTGTTTCAGACTGTCGAGGCCTTAACCTAAATTTGTTTCACGTTCGAAAAGTATACGTGCTGGGATTTCTGAACGAAATCGAAGGAAATATACAAATGATTGACCGAGAAAAAAAATTGTTAAAACCTGTATCGATCCTTCGCACGTTTCTTTCGTATCCTTCAAAATGAATAAGAGAAATTTTATTATATTTATATATCTAGAGATGCATGTTTTTTGGCATAAATAATAATAATAATTAATAGTTAATATAGTCTTATAATTATATGTATATCAGAATTTTATGACTGGAGTATAAATATGATGACAAATTAAGAGAAATTGTAACAAAAAAAAAGATAAGATGATAAAGGCACCATAAACTTTATTATTATTTACACACATTATTATAAAAATTAATATATTATTATTATTATTATTTGCATTTAATGTTTTTTTTATTTTATTGTTTGTTGCATTGTGACAGAAAAATATTTTTACTATTTATAAATAATATATTATTAGTTATTACAAAATTTCGACTTCTTCGAAAAATTTAAAGAAAAATAAGAAGATTCCATGTGAAAATAGTTAAATCAGAAAAAACTTGGATAAAGATTTTTTATCGTTCATATTATTTGCATTCAAACATTATTTTCATGTAGATCAATCAATATGTATAAATTCAAATTTGATTGGTAGGTGATATCGCAACCTACAAAAACCCGTTCACATAATCGAATCAAAATTTTAATTTGTAATATTTTCGAATAATACGAATTATTATATCCAATATAAATACTATCTTTTGATAAAAGAAATGCCACATACACAAAATTTCCGATTAGTATTATTTATATATTTATGAATGATTGCTTACGTTATCGTTATCATTTAGCAAAACCTCTCGAATGGTAAAGAATTAACGATCGTTACAAAATAATTGGAATCCAAATAGAAACTTTTTTATCCTTTAGTAACGCTTTTAAAAGCTGGTAATTACAGGAGTAATTAAATCGAAAAATTAAACAAAAACAATGATATAATTTATATTACAATAATTACAGTTCATTGTCGTAATTACCAGCACATATAACTAATAATTTATAAAAATTGTCAATTTCAATTTGAAGATATAAATTTGATGTAGATACTTTTTCAAAAAGATCCTTTTAATCTTCAATAAATGGAAAATAATGAAGCCTACAAATATATTTCAGATTTTCATTCCTAACTTCGATCGTGATTATTTGCTTATTCTCGATGTATCATTCGACTTTTTGCAAATATCATTAATGAGTATTGTTCATTATTTAAATATTTTAATTTAGTAAATATCAAAGTTCAGGTCTATCGTCCAGATAAATTCTAATGACGTCAATTAAAAAAAAAAACACATTACTTTTTCTTGATAATAATTATTCATTGTGCATCTTTTTTTGATCGTATTCATTGATACAACTGAATTAATATGTATTTTCCTAATCGATCTCGATAAATCTATAAATTATGTCCATTGCGGTTCTTTTTTTAATTAATACATTATCTCTCTTCAATTTTATTTTCTTATATCATATTTTTCTGTTATTTCTTTCTATATATCTGTATATCTCTTCTTCTATATATAAAAAGAAAAGAAAAAATATTAGTTAAATGTTACATATCACGTGTTAAGAATAATACGCATGTTTGGTCATTTGTGTGTATATTCATTCTTTTTTGTTTTCACGACACAGTGGCCATAGTTAAATTAACATCTTACATTGATGAGGTAAGAATTTGAGAGGAATGACTGTAAATGAGAAATGACTCATCGTTCCTTATCAAACAAAAACAATTACTTTTCTATGTAATTATTAACTGAAAGACCGAGAAAGACTAATTACTTTTTTGAATTGTGAAACAAACTCATTGTTTATTTCGTGAAAGATTACGTGGAATTTTAAAAATTTTTCCCCTCGTTTCACGTGACAAAATTGTACGACAAGGAAGAATAATTTTTTCGCAAGAAATAATCGAATATTACAAACGTCCTTAATTATTAGAATTATTATTATTATTATTATTTATATTCAGCATTAATTACTTATGATTTATCTGTAATATTTTCTATCCCTTTTTTTTTTCCTTATAAATCTTATTCATGTTATATATATATATAAATTATAAATATAAATTCTTGCGTGAAACATTCGTCTTATCGCATATTTCTTGCTTATTAGAATTATTTATTTAGCTTTAGATAAGAAGAATTTTTATCAAGGAAATCTTTAGTCCAGATCGAAAAATAACAATGAATTCTCGTAATCATTTTTCATCCATGTATTACATTCTCTTATCCGTATATAAATTTATTTATCTATTTATCTATTTATCTTAATTTTTTTTGTATGGTTCCTTTCGTCTTCGTTCTTGTTCAAGTTGCACGTAAGACGTTATCACAAATTGTTTTAACTTTCAACAACGTAGTTAGCCAGCTGAGCGAATCAGAGCTTTCTAATGCTTTCAAAATAAAGAAACCGAGAGATGCTCGCACCTTTCTTTCACTGGTTATCTTGCTCCATTGATTTGGAAAGTCATGAACATATGTTTGTACACCCGATATATATGTACGTATACGATTTATGTAGTTTCCTTGATAAGGAAAAACTATTTGATAATTATAAGTGGTAATTGAATTTTTTCATTAAAGATAAAAAGATAAGATAAGTTATGTATTCGATTATTATTACTATTTGCATTTTAAAACGTGTAATTAAATCAATTTTTTCTATTTTTTTTGGCGTAATTCATTGTTATAATTATTGCTATATTCTTTTTTTTTTATTAATATAAAATAGTACATCTTGATTAAATCGGCGTGATTAGAAAACAAATGACGCGAATAAATTGAAGCTTAATAGATAATCAAGACAAGGATGAAATTATTTAAAACACGGTTCTTTTATGTAATATAAAAATTTCTTCTATATTTTTTTCTTTGTTTTTTCCTTTTTTTTTTTAGTAACATATATATGTATGTATTAACAAATATGAGACAATAGATAACCAAGATCCCTAATAATTAAAAACTCGGTGAACTAATTATCTCTGATTGACGTGTATATATGGAGAAATGGCAATATTTTGTGTTATGATATGCAGAAGTTATTATTTGCTGTTTACCAGTTAACTGTTGTGATTTTTGTAAAAAGTATTGCTAAATTGTGTCATCAGAATGAAGCGATAACATTAAATATTGCCATTTTTCCATGACGAATATACTTAATCACAGCTTACCAATTAATCGAGATCCTACTAAATGTATTATTTACAATTGAATTTATGGATTCGTTTATAAATAAAATACGTCAAAAGTTTCTTTTGTTTTCTATATAAATAAAACATTAGAAGAAAAAAAAAACATTATGTTATTAGTATACACGATGTATTTTTTATAACAAAATTTTATATACGATATGTATGACCTGCACGATATGATGATATTATTTATTTTTTATGTGTGATATATATTTTGATTTTCGTTTAAAGAAATATGAGAAATATTGATTTGTTATTATTCAAATAATATTAGATTTTTGATGAAACAGATTCGAATGGAAAAAAATGGACAATTGCTAAAACAGAAACCATGAAATATCCATTTTAAATTTCATATACATTTCTTGGGCGTGTAATAATGTGAAAAGGATGATAGTGAAAACCAAGTAGACGAGTACACTCGAGCACGTGCCAAAGGAGTAATATGCTGGCCTTGCGATAAGATCGTTATCTCCACTTTTAAAATTAGGATACTATCTTAACGAAGTTCCGAGATGCTGTCCCTGCTATTCTCTGATAGCAAAAAAATTAAAAAGGGAAGACAAAAATTATTTTCAATTAAATTATATACGCGAAATGTTATAATACTTATACAATTTTTCATAAAGTGATATACGTTTTTATAATATCGTGTTTCATATTTAACAATAAAACGAAATTGAAT